ACAGGGGCTTGTCGGCATTCCAAACTCCAGTCCATGGTGGCATTTCGGTCGCTTCCTATTAAAATTAAATATTAATTCATTATGAGATGAGGTGAAAGGTTAATCACCTACTTGTCTATGACAGTATTCCTTCAGATAATATAACTGACAAATGCTCAACGGATTATATATATTATGGGTATAGGCAGTGGAATACAAAACACTTTTTGTTTATATAACAGTGGGCAAACGGGGAGGACCGCTCATCTGATGTTAAGTTATACTGCCGCCCATGGGCACCAGAGGGCTCGCTAGTGTGTTGCCGGCCTTTTCAGAATTGGTACGCTCTTATCTTGACGGGTTCTAAGTCGAATTGGTTCGGAAATACTTCAGTGGGCAGCTGGTTTCACATAGTGGTGGTGCGCGGCAGAAACTGCCTTAAAAAACGCTCAGTGGTGGAACGGGGGACGTCAAGGTGACTGTGGAATTTCGTATTCTGCCTCGACGTCCGATGATGCAGACTCAACTGCATTCATCCGAACAACTCCTCTGAACATTCTCTGAGGTACCTTGAACTAGAACTATCCATAGGACCATTTTGCAGCGAAGTTAAATCTTATGACACCACAATTATAATTATAACACAACATGTTGATTGGTTAAACAGGGTTTTTGATATCAATTCAATGGGATATTTCTGGGTTGGTCTTGTAAAATATAGCAGTCCAAAGCAATGCACTGGTCTCTTTTCATTATATGTCTCTTTGGTGTGACCATATCGACAGAAAGAGACAAACATATAAAACTATGTAACTAATATGTTGCAAGTAGAAAGGAGCTAGAGTTCATAGATATAGTTCAATTTGTACGTAAATTATATCGATAATGAAGTATTGATAGGTCTGATTATGCTATCATGGCCTTTGGCCAGTAAATCACCCCACGTGTGAGAAGTCTGCAATCGGCTTTAGTTCGACTTTAAAATGTATGAGTTTTTTCACTTACACTAGACAAACAAAAAACACGGCAACAATTTCTATCTACACTACTACAAAACGATTGCGCGTTGCGTTTAAGTGTGATTGGTCCACGGTTTAGTCCCGAAAGACGCGTCACCGTTCGTCATTGACCAGTCGCCAATATAAGTTTCATTCATTCGCCCAGCACTTAGCTTGAGGTAACATACTGTACGAGTCTATAGTAATTTTTTATTTAATATTTCTTGTTTTTATATAGTATAACTCTTTATTGAATTGATAATTAATGGCAAAAGGCAATGGTAATAGTAGGCTACCATTGCCTTCAAAAAACTATTTACCTAAACTTACTTACGAATTCGGAGCAAAAAATTATTTTTTGTTTGTAATATGTGTTATATGATTAAGCTATTTAAGTTAAGAATATGGTTAATACTGTATGTTGGAATAAATATCATACATAATATTAAAATGGTCCGTAAATATCAGTATTTTCTTACCACAAATCTATATTTCCCAGTTGGCGGTGCGGCATAAGGTATTCCTTGGAAACTCGCATATTCCCTTCCATTAACACTCTTTCCGAATATCCCTTTGAGTTTTCCGTTTTTCACTTGCACTAGAACTCCTACAGCGAAATTTATTAATATTAATTTTATCAGAGTTCTAAACATATTTGTAATTAAGTGCGCGACGTGCGACCGGCGTCAATATGATACAACGTTTCTGCATTTTCAATAAACTTCAAGGTTTAATTTTTTTAAATAGATATATTTCGTACTAAAACTGGTATTCTACCCTGGTTTATCTGGTCACTGATTATACTGGTATCAAAAGATTGTCTCATTGGTCTATGTCTATATTACTTCGGGAAATTTCTTTTTTGTGTGTGTGTGTAAATACTTCTTGGCGACAGTGAAGTAAATATTGCATCAATTACTGTATAATCAAAACAAACGAAAGAAATTTAAGCGCAAAAGAAAGTCTATAGCTGGGTATCGAACCTACGACCTCAGGTATGATAGTCGCACGCTGAAGCCACTAGGCCAACACTGCTCTGAAATTTATATAATACTTGACAAAGTTCTTTTCTTCTTAGTAGTAATACTTTCGTATGTCTAAATCAGATTGCCAAAAATATACAATTCGACTTATACGAAGTGTATAACTCTATCAGCACATATATAAGTTACAATATTATTCTATGTATATACTCATTAGTCAGAAATACCCCACTCATTATATACTTAATTATTGTCTTTTGTTTTTTACTAGGTTTTGTGTATTGTATTAAATTATGCGACAATTGGTCATTAATGCTCTCCTGAATATTTTTTATTATTTTGATAAACATAAATTCTAGTATAATGATTTATAAAATTAAAATATAAACCGAAAAATGAATACGCTTGGTTTCATAGGTCTGTAGTAACCAATTGATCTGTAAGTATCAGTATTAAACTACCTCGATATAATTATAAGATAACCTCAGATATTTTTACCTGTTTTTTTATAGAACGGGGGGCAAACGGGCAGGAGGCTATTCTGATGTTAAGTGATTGGCAGAGGGCTATGCCGACCTTTTAAGAATTGGTACCCTCTTTTCTTGAACGACTCTAAGTTGAATTGGTTCGGAAATACTTCAGTGGGCAGCTGATTCCACATAGTGGTGGTGCGCTTCAAAATTTGCCTTATAAAACGCTCAGTTGTGGAACGACGGACGTCGAGGTGATACGGGTCTGAATTTTATAATCTATAAGGTAAACTCTTTTACACGGAGTCTACCCGTGGTTTTTGTTCGCTTTAACAATATATACTTACAATAATTGATTAAATAAAATTGCTTACGTATTATCATGTCTTTTTGTCAATTTTATTACCTCTTTTGCTTATAATCGTTGTGCTGGATTTTGTCACAGTAAACTTATGATTTCACTGAGGCGGTTAAAATGTAATTAAGAGTTATTTAATACGAAAACTTTTCCAATATGGAATAAAAGGATTTCAAACCAATTTTTATACCTGTGGGAATTTATATTGCGTATTTTGAAACGTGTCGAATAAATTTTCCCCCCTACTAGAAGTATGGCAAATATAATAACGGTCACATTTTATCAAATACTTTCCAAAAATCCAAATGTAATACTGGTACAAATCGTTTGGCAAAAAAAAAATTGCTGATTTTCGACGGTATGGCGGCCATTTGGAACCGTCCGAAAAGTATGGCATGGTGATTTTCGTAAATGGCTGCACGACGATGTGCAAAAATTAGCCTGGTACAAATGGTTGAATTTTCTTTTAACTAACGTCGGTATGGCGGGCTGTAAGTCACACCGGAGAAGTGTGGCATGACACTACCGCCTATTATTTTTTATGGACTATCGGAAAATACTAGAATTTTTGTGGAACAAATTGTTTGACACTCGTAATTAATCCGACGAGTTCGACTAACGCCCTCGCGATTGCGCCGCCGCTATGACCATCATTTTTCATTTTTTCATTGCGGAATAAGACCCCTGAAGAACCGCGCTACTAGTACAAATGACCCAATATTTTGTGTCACTATCTCCCGGTCTATAAACTAACATAGTACTTTACAGTAAAAATATAAATAGAATGAGGTTTCGGCCGATGTGGAGATCTAGACATATATATCTCTTCGACTTAGGGAATGAATGAATTACTTCACGCAATTTTTGGAGATTATTGCCCCCCCCCAGCCCCGTTTTTCTGTACCCAAGTATAGTAAGTAATACGTTTCGTGACGACCTAGTGACTCTTTATACTTAAATGTTACCGTTATGTGGTGTTAAGTACTGGTAAGTCGAAAATAATATTAACAATACCGCGTAATTCTATCCCCGCCCCGTATCGTTACGTTTTACAAAAGGACCCCCCCTAAAAATTCGTTACATAATACTTGAACGCTCCCTTATACAATGAAATAAGGATTTTTAATTACAGCTTGCATGAAAATTGTGACAAGATATATATTTGCCAATTGTTCCATTTGCCTGGTATGATCACGAATTATCTCCGTAATTTGCATATGTTTCGGGTTTTCGCTAACTACAATACAATTAATGAAGATGTGTGAGGAATGTGAGGAAATAATTTGGGACACAAAAAGTCTTTGACTTTATATTAGCAGTAGTGACAATTTTTTTTTCCTTTAAAATATTAAAGTAGTATTAATTATTATTGTAGTTAGTTTATAATATATATATAATTGATAATAAATAAGATATGTATAGAATATTTTTATTATTATTTATTTATTTTTTAAACATAGAATACATATATCATATATTTTTTAAAACGAAACACATAAATACATGTCTTAAGTCCCATACTTAGCAGGAAGGAGGCTTTATACTAGACAAAGTAGAATATGAAATGTTTAAATGAAGGATTTTCGGTCGTTTTTTGGTGTTTAATTACTTAAAGGTACGATTTCACCAATGTGTTGTACTCTGCGGCACATTGTTGCACAGCGTATGGCACAAATGTTTGTTTTGGTCGACTCACTCAATCGAACAAACTAAAATAATAAATTGTGCAAGAATACTTTATCAAAGTTCGCGCACAACTGTGCACTTGTGTGCGCGAATACGGTACAAATAATGAACCTGTGTCGACGAGCAGACTCGTTGTTCGCGAACCTAGTCTTGCTTCCGCTACAAAAGCGAACACATTTATTGTGCGCTCAATCCCCCAAAGTCAAAGCCTCCCAAGTAGTTTTTTGATTTATCAAGAATATTACAAAGCACAACGTTTTTCAGCCAGTCCAAATTAGCAATTGTCGGCAGAAAATCTTGTCAGTGAACATGTTCGTGAACAAGTGTGTAACACTGCGCGCACAAAGGTTACTCACAGCGTTGCCGGTGGAGTCAGAAGCCAAACGCGATACGCGCTAAGGACGTGTTCCTCTATTGTTTTGCACAAAATGTGCCGCACGCTATTTTGGTGCAATCGTACCTTAATAAAGCATTATCGAATTAAATTTTAGCAAGAAATAGAAATCGATCGTTTGATGTTAAAAATTTAATAATTCAAATATCGTAAAATTCGTTCGTTTTCATTAAATCCGAGACTGTCCCAAAATGTCTTGTTCCCAAAATTAGCATAATGCGACATTTTCATGTTGTCAGGTGCCAAGATATCTAATAGATTAATTTCTGGTCCTGGAGTGACTGGGTTCCATTGGGAGTTATCTACAGTAGGAACTCTGAAAAAGAATTGTTTTGAAAAAATATGTACATTATTTTGACTAAATCGGTCATTTGGAATAATATTTATGTATTTAGAAACATCTTAATTTTTTTTTGAAGCTCTTTAGATTAGATTTGTGGAAACAAGGCCAGCCTTTTTGTTCATACATTCACAGGACCATTAACCACAATGCCACGGAATCGGACAAAAATTCCAATTGTGCTTAAACTTTTGTTTTATGGAAAAAATATTACTACCATTTAAACAAATAAAGTAATATTAAAAGACTTACCCAGTCGTTGAAAACGAATAAATAATTTTAATTAAAGTCTGTATTATTTCAATATCGTCGGACCTATTAAGAACAAAGTTTGGCAGAAAAAATATACGAATGAGATCGTCCGAGTGGCTGGTACCTTAAAACAAAGAAATAAGGTCTTTACATAAATGACTGGCATCATTATTAGTATTCGACTTTTCGCTTAGTTCTCGTAGTTGTCGAGATTTTTGGCTAGAGAATGCTAGTCCATACAAAATTGATTAAGATGCGTAGATTTTAATTTTCATTCCAGAAAGTTGTGTATATGATATATACAATTCTGTTAAAGTTTCTTACCGTAATTGACATTAGTTTTTCCAATCAGGTCAGAAAGGCTTTTTTCACCTCGGAAGCTGTATCGGTACATGTAAGCTTTCTGAGTACTTTTTAAGACAAATAATCGCGTAAATTCTCCTATATCTGCGTAGAAGTTACGATCGGTTAACGCCTGTAAAAAAATATGTATAATAATTATAATTATTGGAGAAAAGACTCTTGGACCGTGGGGGTTAAAGTACTAACTAATGATTTAAGTTGGCGTCTGGTAGATAGTACCGGTGACCCCAGAGCTGGTCCTTTCCTCTGTATCGTAATACATAATATCCTCGCGGTAGGTGTTTTAATTTTCTATTATCAATTTTACATTATTATTATTATTACTATGTAGGTTAAGAATAATGTAAATACTCTATATTTGTGTATAATAGTTTTTGTAATGTGCAAGAAATTCAGTCAAAAGTCAATGCCCAAATTTTCGTATAACGCGCGAAACGTCGCGTCTCATTTATTTAACAATAGCTACAAATTTATTCAAAATTACAATGGTACCGTGGATTTTATGTTGTGTGATGATTAATAAATAAAATAAGTAAATCAGTGTTTTGTTATTGCAGTAGTACTATTATTTAGGTTACGCAAATAAATGCAATTAGTGACAATTGGTGAAACAGATGTAACTATAGCCCGTGCAATTTTATTCTTGTTTTTATACAGAACTGGACATACGTTTGGCCACAATCCCACCTGATGTAAGGTGAGACGTGGCCTATTGGAAGGTACGCCTGTTCAACCGCCACTTAAATTAACCCATATCATTCTGTCTGGGGTGGAAGGGGCAAGGAGTTCCATTCCTTGACTGTTTTTATAAGACGCGAAGAACAATATCGTACAATGTGGTAACTGGGGATGTCTACAACGAAGGGGTTGCGTTATAAAAACGTATATGAGATCTAAGGTAAAGAAAGAAATATCTTATTAGATATAAACCTTTCTTTTGAATCACTCTGTCTATTGATAAGTCTATTAAAATCAGTTGTTTCAGAGATCTAAGCATTGCTGGAAAGCCAGTTTTAATACTATTTTTTAAGGGGGCAAATGGGAGGTGTGCACATCTAAAGTGACACCGTTGCCCGTAGACACTACATTGCAAGAAGGCTCGCAAGTGCGTTGCTGGCCTTTTGAGAATAGGTACGTTCTTGAAGGACCCTAAGTGGAATTGGTTCGGAAATACTTCAGTGGGCAGCTGGTTCAATATGGTGGCGGTGCGCGGCAAAAACTGCCTTAAGAAACGCTCAGTTGTGGAACGACGCGACTTCGAGGAGATATGGATGGATACTATATAAAGATGCTGACCTTTACTAATTGTTGGTATGTTTTTTGATTAACAGCTTGATTGTTTAGATAGAATTCCTTGATTTTCGAAGCAACTTCATCTCGGCGACGTTTAGGTAATGTATCATAGTAGTTGAAGATAATTGACGATAGTTCTGTCCACCTGGCTTCCAGTTCTGGTAGCAGAGTTGCATTTGATTGGAAAACTGTAAAAATACGTTAGCTGTTGAAGTATTTCATGGTGAAACAAATGTTAAAGTTTGCCTATGTTGTCCATAAAATGTTTTGTTTATTATTAAGTTATTTTAATGGAGTTTGGGTTTCGGGCATTCTTGGTAAAATACAATTTTATCTCGGATTGATGGTGCCGCGTGGTCAATCATAATTTATAGATTTTGCCTATATGTGAATTGTAAAAGTTAAAAGCGACATTGGTTTTAGTAAGAAATTCTGACAAATACCCTTTCAAATTTCAACTATATTTATCTATTACGTGAGCGGAAACGCTTATCGCAAGTGATGGCTGTTTCTTTATAGGCCAGTATGAGATGAACAGACAAAAAACTGCTGTCTGCGAATTTGTGAATAGATTTTTTATGTAATAGGAGACATACGGGCAGGAGGCTCACCTGATGTGAGGAAGGTGTGAAGGATTGCAAGTCCGTTGCCGGCTTTTTAATAATTGGTACGCTCTTATATTGAAGGACCCTAAATCGAATTGGTTCGGAAATACTTCGGCAGACTATTGGCAAAGATAGAATAGATAGATAGATAAAGATCTGGAAAGGGTTGGAGGAGTCCTTCACCCAAGTCCATATCCTCAGGTGACTTACATATAAGTAATTACTAACAACATTTGGAAAGGAAATTAAGGAAATCGTAATAAAAAGGTTTTATTATTTTATCCGATTCAGCCCATACCTTCACAAGATTTTTATTGTGGAACAGAGTTTGCGCATTTACTTTTATTAAGAAAAAAGTACTTCTGCGCATCTAACGACTATTTCCCGCTTACGTGCCGTGAACAACAATCCATTTATTTATCACCATATATCACGAAAGCAATAAGCCAGATGCTTCTGTGTCTTCCAGATAGAATTGGAGCAGAAAGGGTAAGATTTAATTCAAAGGTTAGCGACTCAAAAATGGATTAGATTTCGACATTCGGGAGTCGTAGTTTCCGCGTAATTTTGTCCGAAATTTACCTTGAGTCAATTAAATAAAAAAAATGTTTATTATGGAACATAAGATACAGGTATCACTTATTCCACGTCATTAAATTATTAATCCCTACTCATCGGCAAAGAAGACAGAGGGTGTAGGCTGAGAGAAAAAGACGGCGTAAAAAACTCTCGGTACTCTTTTAAAAAAGGAAAATCATCAAACACTTATTTTAAAACAAATATCGCATATTAATTAGAAGTAGCCTGTCTAGCACTAGTCCCAGGCTCTTTTGTTAACTAGATAATCGTTAACTTTATAGTAAACCTTTTACACAGCTTTTCTTTAATACATTTCTTAAATTTATTAAAAGGCAGAGATAAAAGAGCCTCTGGGATTTTATTAAAGAAGATTATCCCTTTTCCCAAAAAAGAATTACTAAGTTTCCGAGATTCATTTGAGAACTCGGAAAGTTAGTTTGAGTTTTGAGTTTGAGAGCATTTAATGTATTTTTTTTGACGTTTATAAGTGTACATTGTGTTACCTACATGAATAAATGATTTTTGTTTGTTTGTTTGTTTAACATTGTGCGAATGTTCTATTCTAGTAAACTTATCACTATTTTTGTATACATACATACTATTTACAAAAATATAATGCGAGGGAAAGGTAAGTATATTATTTTCCTTCATGAACATCAAATCAACCAATACCAAAAATCATGAATATGTTATAATGTTACGATATATAAATTATGTATAATTAACAATGTAGCATATTCCTATTACTTTTCTTTTGTATTTCCATTGGTGTTAATAACTGGCAATACATGTTTATAAGCTGGTAACAAATAAATAAATTTTCACATACAATCGTTGTCTCCAATGTCGTAACGTACTGTCACCCCCCCTCACCCTTTCTCACCCAAAAACTTTTTAAAACCCTTCTGAAGGAAGGAATCAAACCCTTTCTGTTCTTATGAATTATTTGTTATATAATTACTGAATTGTTCTTACATGCAGCCGGATATAGTCCCTCCTCGGATGTCGTTGTTATAAGAAGTGGTACTTTTTTAAACGATCCTTCAAGTGTACCGAGGTACGGGTGTGTGTCAATAAATGCAGAAGGACACTCCGGTTCTACTACTGGAGTAAACGGAGTGAATAGTTGTGCTCGCCAACCCTGAAAGAATGATTGCTTTTAACTTTCATTCATCATCATTCATTTCGGACGCATGTTTCATCTATAATTTGTAATCATTATAAGAATGATGTGTTTGTGTTCACATACTTTTCAAAATCAATGTTTTTTTAAATTTTAATAGAGCGTCAGTCTTGTTACGTATCATTTACCAATTAACGATCATGAAACTACCTCATTATTGTAATGTAATTATTAAGTTATAACAAATAGCGTTTAAAGGTTAGTCGACATCACAGGAGACCGAAGAGCTGGCAGCTACCTCTAACAAAGATTTAGCCTAGCTATTTAAAGGGGGAACGCTGCCAGTATCTTCGAATAATATATTATTAAAAGGAGTCCCTTGCCTAAAAGGGACTCCTTTTAATAATATATTTTAGTTAATTTTTTTATTAATTAGTATATTATTTAAATATATATATTCTTTGATTTGTCTTTGATTACTTTAAGCATAATAGCGTTTTACTTTAAATAATGAAGATAAATTACCTAATACATTGCTTACCAGCATATCGCCTTGGGCGCTTACGATGACATCTGCAGGTCTGGTGCGGAAGCATTCGACCATTTCCTGGTTATTATCGCAGGGACATCCCACAAGATCTGCTAAGGTTCTGGCATTTTTTTCTGGCTTCGTCTGCTGCGCCCATGGAGCCAGCGCTGATCCACTCGACATTATGCCACGGTGGAATTTGTCTAAAACGTTGCATTTTTCTTTTACTTTATTGAACATTGCGCTTTGTTCTAAATTTAAAGTAGTGAGAGTTGCGATTCGCAGCTAAAAAATTGTTGGAATATTCGTGCCCGTGCTCCATTATTGGGTCTACAAATGTTCCCTGGTAGAATCCGAGAGCGACCCTGGAACCTCTTTAACGCAGCGTTGTTAAGAACTACCCGAAGTGGTTTTAGTGGGTATTGCTCACTCAGTCTCTGAATAGCAATCCTACTTTCGGGTGCAGGGGATGCACAGATGCATTTCCACCTCAGATAAAAAAGTGTCTATAAATGTATAACGATTTTTCAAGTTATTGACAAATATAATAACATATTGTTTGCCTTAGAGTTATCATAGCAATGCTAGCCGCTATCGAGTATAGCAATATTGACATAGTTTATTAATACGTGATAAATTATTAGCAATATCTTATATACTCGTAGATGCATTATATGCAGTTAACCTCATTAGAAAGATAACTATTACTTCGTAAGTTACGCTATTTAAGTGTTGTATTTGAGTATTGTGACACTATTTTGACACAGCTACACTACATCTAACTTTCATTTATTTTCCATACGCATATTTACTAGAAATCAATATTAAAATGTGGTACGCCATTGAGAGACGAGGATTTTTAGTCTTGAATTCGTAGTTTGTTTATTGAATCCTGTAGCACTGATATTATAATAGTTACCATGTGACCGTCGGGATAAAAGGTGATAATGAACAGACGAAGAACCGGCAGAGTTTCCAAAGAGAACAACGTTATCTGGATTCCCTCCGAAGTAGCGTATATTGTTTTTTACCCAGATCAAAGCAAGGTTCTGATCTTTTAACCCAGCATTACCAGGTACTACATTGTCACCTGTACTTAAGAATCCTGAAAAACATTTTCTATTAAAATTATTTCTTTCCTAAAAATGTCTTCACGACATTGAATCATGTAAGTGTATCAGTTAAGTAAGACTTAACAACTAAACATTTCTTACCTAAAGGTCCCAATCTATAGTTAATAGTAACAACCACCATATTCCAATCCATTATTCTTTGAGGACCATAAATATTCCCGGTCCCAAACATGAAAGCACCGCCATGAATGAACACTAAAACTGGTAACTTCGCAGATCTATTTAAAGATGGTGTGTAAACGTTCAAAAATAGGCAATCTTCACTTCCTGGAAGAATTTTTTTAATGAGTTACAAGCTTAGATGGAAAGAATAGATTTTAATATATATTTGGTTGTTTTTTTTTTCATATAATTTCATTTCCTCTTAATATTATTGTATATTGAGCATACTGGGTTACACACGGAATTATAGGAAAAGAACCGCAATGACCAGAGTCAAAAGGCTTTAATGAAGATGGACAGGACACCTGCCTGAAGGCAAAATGGTCGAAAAAAGTCACTTAATGGACACCTCGCTACAATACCAAGCGAATGAGAGGAAGACCATGTGCGCGGTGGGCAGATGACTTTAAAAAAGCCACCAGTCCTCTGTGGCAAAGATTTGCCAGGTATAGGAAGCACTGGATACAGCTAGAGTGGGCCATTGTGCCATAAAGGCAAGGTGTACAAGAGGACAGCTGTGCAACAAAACCTTCTTAAAGAACTTTTTTTATACAGCCAAAAAGTCGTGGATCAAACGCAACTAGGGGTTAGATGAGCTCATCAGTTGCAAAAAATTGTTCTACGGGAGGTCCTTCAGCTCAACCCCTGCAGAGTTATAATTTATTTTTCGTTTTTATAAAAAATTGAATTTTTTTTACTAATTCCTGTTAAAATTCGAAAAAATCTACTTCCTGTATCTTTTTCATAATATCCACTAGATTGGTACTGACAAGTCCTTGCGCTAGACATGCTATTTATGGTTGTTTATTAGGTGTATTAATAAAGATAATATTAAGTTATACGATATAAAATTTTCTGAAATATAATACATATTTCATAACTTTTTGTTTACTTCGGACCCCACTGTAAAAAAAAATACTCTACCGAAAAGTGACTCTGTATTAAAGTTTTGGCGCATTTAATAAGGATTCTGAAAAGGCCACACATGGCCATGAGTGGCTCTAATTTCTTTCTAGGACGAAAAAACACTTGTTGTTGTCTAGCGCAAGGATTCGTCAGTACCATTCTAATGGATATTATGAAAAAGATACAGAATGTAGATTATTTCGAATTTTAATAGGAATTAGTAAAAAAAAGTCATTTTTTTATAAAAACGAAATTGAAATATTATTTTACCTGTTACGGATCCCGTGTATGGATCATACTGCAAACACCGAGACAGGGGCTTGTCTGCATTCCAAACTCCAGTCCATGGTGGCATTTCGGTCGCTTCCTATTAAAATTAAATATTTATTCGTTATGAGGTGACGTGAAGGGTTAATCACCTGTGACGATGTCAAATACAGCATTTGAGTCACCGCCGTTGAACTAATCTAACATTTGGCGACACCAGTCCTTGCGAAGGTGTTTCTGGTCGTCGGTTAAAGTATGGGAAATCCACCTAGTATAAAGCTTCCTGACGACTAAATGTTCATGTTATATTTTTTAACTTGACTCATATTAATGCCTAGGCTTGCCCGTATCTGCTGATAGGTCACTCTCTTATCTTCCTCAATCATGCGTCGACTAGCTCTGATGTTGTCTTCAGTAGTCGCTGTTAAAGGACTTCCCTCACGCGGATCATCATTGAGATTGCTACGACCACGCTTAAACTTGTTAAACCAAACTTGTTTGTTGTTGAGTAAGCCCACAACGAAAGTCATAATAAATCATTGACCGACATTTTCTCACGTTAGGTTCATTTTCACGTGTAACAAGAGTTTTAGATTTTCCGCCAATTCACAAAAACAAATGACAAATGAATGCAATATATTACATTAGGTTAAAGAGTTCTAGTTAATACATTTTTTTTCTCTAACAGTGGTTGCCTGGAAGAGATCGCTCAAAGGGATAAGGCCGCCAGTTGCCCTCCTTTTTATTTAATTATGTTAAATTTTTATATTGTAATGCAACGAAGTGTTCTCACTCAACTCATTCCTACATACTGTGGAAAGAGACCATCATGAGAGATCATCAGTTTCAGAGGTCATTCACACCACACACACAGCGACCAAACTTTTTAAATTTGTTTTAATTTTCTATTTAGTATTTTTAAATTATTACTATTGAGGTTTAGAATATTTTAAATACTGTTTATTTGTATGTTGGAAATAAATATCATACATTGTATATACATCATATTAAAACGGTCCGTAAATATCAGTATTTTCTTACCACAAATCTATATTTCCCAGTTGGCGGTGCGGCATAAGGTATTCCTTGGAAACTCGCATATTCCCTTCCATTAACACTCTTTCCCGATATCCCTTTGAGTTTTCCGTTTTTCACTTGCACTAGAACTCCTACAGCGAAATTTATTAATATTAATTTTATCAGAGTTCTAAACATATTTGTAATTAAGTGCGATACGTGTGCTCGGCGTCAATATGATAGTGTATCTGTGTTTTCAATAAACTTCAAGGTTTTATTTTTTTAAATAGATATAATAAAACTGGAGTTCCCCCTGGTTTATGTGGTCTACAATACTTCGTAAATTGTCTTTTCCGTATGTGTATTTTTGAACTGAAACTTCTTTATGAGGGTAAATTTTTTTCGGAGCGTCACGAAGATGTGCAGTGTTTTTGTCGAAAAAAAGGGAGAGAGCTATCGAGACCGATTGAGAGAGAGAAGGGTGAATTACCTTATAGAAATACTATTTAAAATTAATTAATTAATTTATGCAAAATAATTTATTGAAATCTCAAATGACGAATTGTAAAATAAAATGCAACGTGTTTTTATCATCGAAGAAATAAATTAAAAAAATGAAATTGATAATTTGTATTAATTTCCGACACTTTTAATATTTTAATGACAATTAAATTCATTAAATTACTAACATATCTTCCTTTTTCCCTCCCTCTAAGTCTCGGAACTCTAAAGTTTAAGTTTTGTAATAAATATTAACAAGAGTTAATAATTAGTTTACCAAAAAAGTTTCATTTCTAACATGTGTACTTTGTACGCACGCATTTTTTTATATATAGGAAAAACCTACCTACCTACCTTTTTTATTATAGATTTTTTTTAAATAGAATATATTTAATTAATCAAAGTATGTACCATTGTTATCTATACACTTTTGCCATGTTAATAAGTAAGTAAGTAGTTTATTGATCTCTTTACTACAAAAAGCATTCGGACGGGAATCAATAAAATCTTTGTAGGCGGTTTCGACTGCCCCAACATGAATTTTTTACCTTGCAAGAAGTTATCCAAATTTAGAAAAAAATGGTAATCCGTTGGAGAAAGGTCGGGGAGTACGGTGGATGTAGACAGACTTAGACATTCCAATTGAAACTCCTCTAATTTTGTAACAGTCTGTTGCAGTGTGTGGTCTAGCGTTGTCGTGAAGCCGCAGTGGCCTAGAGCGATTGACTAGCCTTGGTTGTTTAGCAGCTAGCTTTCCTATCATGGTTTGCAGTTGCTGACTATATACATCAGCCGAAATCGTCTGGCTAGATTTAAGAAAGTTATAGGGCACTATTCCACCAAACGCTCTCAAGTAACTTTATTGGAGTCAATTTTCGCTTAGGGCACGATTTGGTTGGTTCCGCTGGATTCAGCCATTGCGATGAGCGCTTCCAGCTATCGTACAGGACCCACTTTTCATCACAAGTAATAATTCGATTTAAATTCCATAATTATTGTGCCGTTTGAGTAATGCAACGCAGCAGTTGACGCGAATTTGTCGATTTGCTTCACTCAATTCGTGAGGTACCTTTCAAACTTTTTCACCTTCCAAGTCCTGCTAAAAGAAAATAAATTTTATATAAATATTGTCTGTACATATAGATTCATAAATAAATCAGTGGTGCTACAACCTTTTTATGTCTGGGCCTCAGATTTCTGTATCTGTTTCATGATAATTTGTCAATCTAATAGGCAAGTAGGTGATCAGCGTCCTGCGCCTGACACACGCCGTCGTCTTTTTGGGTCTAAAGCAAGCCGGTTTCCTCACGATGATTTCCTTCACTGTTCGACCCGGGGATCGAACCTACGACCTCGGGATGAGAGTCGCACGCTGAAGCCACTAGGCCAACACTGCTCTGGAAATTATTTTCTTTTTAGTAGTATTACTTTCGTATACTTACCTATTTTTGACGAACTGTTAGACATAAATACATTTCTTTTTACACAAATATACACTTCTCTATCAGTACATATGTAAGTTACATTATTATTCTATGTATATAATCATAAGCCAAGAAATTCCACACTCATTATATACTGAATTATTGTCTTTTATTTTTTAATATATTTTGTGTATTGTAATTAAATATTTGACAATTATTGGTAATTAATGCTCTCCTGAATTATTTTTTATTATTTTGATAACCTTAAATTGTAGTGTAATGATTTATAAATTTATTAATCTCAACATTAATATACAAAACCAAGCCGTTTCATTTCAAAATTTAAACAGCTAGTGCTGTTGAAATAAGAAAGTGTCTTATCAAGGTGTTCCTTGATAAGTGTCTTATACACTTTCGCTTAGATAAGACACTTTCGCTTTAGCTATAATATTGTATAGCTATTCAATATATAAAACAAATAGGGTAAATAGGACATTATATACTTCTGAATTGGATTGTGTTTCTTAATTTGGGGCTTTCGAATTTATTGATTAATTAGTTCTAAAACAACGTGTATACAATTATACAAGAAAATATGGCATCACAAATTTTACACATATACACATCAATTATATTGGAAGCAAGCAAGCTAGCAATGGAAATAAATAAACAGGCAACCACAATAAAAAATAAAAAAATAAAAAATACTACCACCTCATTAAGAGCATGATAAACAAAGTTACGGTAAGTTGGAAGATTGTTGTAAAATATATTAATACTTTCATCAATGTTAGTATTTAAGTTGTAAGAGCGCGATAGCTAGATAGTGAATGGACTGGACAAAAAAAGTATTTATATTTTGTATTATTCATATAGTTATATGAAATATAGTATATTTCATATAACTATATGAATATATGAAATATACATTAAATGATTCTAATTTTACATTTACTGCCAGTTCTCAAATCAAGGGCGTAGAACGGAAGGTAAAAACTGGCAATCAACTCTCCGCCACTCTTTTTAATCGCCAAGTTTTTTGTTTTACACAACGTTTGTAAGGAGCTGCAACCATTACACCATGATCCACATTACATCTTAAGTAATAAATGATAATAAAATAAATTAAAAACAAAGATTTGTCCTCTATCAGCAGGAGACATGGTGAAATAGGAGCACGCACTTACATTCTCGTGGGAACAACACGCAAATACATAGTCGAAATAACTAACAAGCTCAACTAACTAAGCAGATAAGCGAGTCTTAATAGTAAATAGAACATATGCCAATGGAATCTCTTAGTAGCTAGTTTCGTTCTGTCACTTCACAGTGCAGCTGAGTTTCATCATCGGACGTCAAAGCAGAATACAAAATAACATTCGTATCACCTCGACGTACGTCGTTCCAGAACTGAGCGTTTCTTAATGCATTTTTTTTCCACGCACCGCCACTATGTGGAACCAGCTGCCCACTGAAGTATTTCTGAACCAATTCGACTTCAAGAAAAAGCGTCCCAATTTATAAAAGGCCGGCAACGCACGAATGATGGTTGGCATACGCTTGGTTTTACAGCTCTGTATTAACTAATTGATCTGTAAATTTCGCTCTAAAAGTACCTTGAAATAATATAAATTTTTATGCTGTTCGCTTTTAGTCTCTGAATGTGAAAAATATATACGTTAATTTATTCACCTGAATAAATAATGTTTTTGAATACCAAATACAGGTTTTTACTTTACCAAACTATACAGATAACCTCAGATATATTCAGCTGTTTTTTCGACTGCATATTTTAACTGGGGGCAAACGGGCTTTTCTGATGTTAAGTGATTAGCAAAGGCCTCGCTAGTGTGTTGCCAGCCTTTTAAGAATTGGTACCGTCTTCTCTTGAAGGACCTTAAGTCGAATTAGATGATTCCACATAGTGTTGGTGCGCAGCAAAATCTGCCTTATAAAACGCTCAGTTGTGGAACGTTGAAGGTGAGGCGAATAGCGACGAACAACGAGGTGATACGGGTCTGAATTTTATAATCTACTAGCGGACCCGGCAGACGTTGTCCTGCATGATATTTCAAGCGATTAGTAAATTAAACAAAGAATGATAGTACCGACTGCAGCGCCATCTGCTGGGCTGATTTGTGAATCTAAATCATCCAGGGCGTCACCCAAACGCATACAAAAAATCATTCTAATCCAGCCGTTTAAGAGGAGTTCAGTGACATACACACGTTCAGCAGAATTATATATATATTTAAAGATATCATATACCTACATATTAGCTCCTACAGTTTCTTCTTGTCTCCCTTTCTAAAAGTTTTTTTGATGTATTGTGCTGATTTAGTTATAAGAAATTGTCTATTACATATTTTACCTTTTTTGAATAAATTTATTGATTATTATCTTTACTATATAAAAATAAGTCGGGTTTTCCTTCCTGACGCTATAACTCCAGAACGCACGAACCGATTTCCACGGTTTTGCATTCGTTGGAAAGGTCTTGGGCTCCGCGAGGTTTATAGCAAAGAAAATTCAGGAAAAATTTCAACAGAAAAGCGGGATCACCAAACGAAATGTTACATAAAACGAAGCCATCTGGTGGCGAAACGGAGTTCGCCGAGTTTGCTAGTTTTATATATATTTTATCAATACAATTTTCTTACATCCTCTTTGACGATATTTGCAGCACGCATTCTGTCAATGTTAAGTCAAACGCGGTGGATAAGTATTCTTAAATTTTCAAATTTTCTTGAACCTTCTCCTGACAATAACAAAAATAACAAAAAATTAATTAGCTAAATCGGCCCAGCCTTTTCACGCGTTATGCCGTGACCAAGGGAATTAGGGATAGATAAGGTAAAGTCTTTTAGACAGAGTCTACCCTTTGCTTTTGTTCTCTTTGTTTAACAATTCATACTTAGAATAATCGATTAAATAAAATTGCTAACGTATTATCATGTCTCTTTGTCAATTTTATTACCTCTTTTGCTTATAATCGTTGTGATGTACCTTTTCCAATTAAACTGACGATTTCACTGAGGCGGTTAAAATGTAATTTAGAGTTATTTAATATGAAAACTTTTCCAATATGGGGTAAAAGGATTTCAAACAAATTTCTATACCTGTGGGAATTTATTTGAACTATTATTTCCTGTGGGAGTTTTAGTATCAGGATTGCGAAACTTTTACGCTTGGGAATTATATTCAAGTGTTGCGTTTATTATGAAAATAATTAATTTTAAAAATGTTAATTATTATTATGATTAGTACACAGTG